TATTCTTCCTTGCAGTAAGCTACACATTGGAATGCTATCTATGCCCGCTTATTCTTTAGAGATGGTTCGTCGCTCTTAATTAAGCTCCATGAATCAGCGGAGCAGTCTTCATTTACCGAAAGATCTTATATTTCGATTCTTTAGCAAAATCATTTATGTAGCTGGATTGCACATTTATCCCCATTAACTTTGTGTTCATATTTTGTTTTATGAAATCTGACCTGATTATTACTTCATCTTGTGCTGTTTTGTCTTATTGATGATTTTTATCAATGTTATTTTGATTTACAGTCAAACTCCATTTTTGATTTATTTTCGCTCCTTATACTTATTTAGAATCAAATGCCATTCACTCTCCAACTTCCAACGACAAGCGGCCTCGCCCTCTCTCTGGAGTGGTTGTCTACGTATCCAATCAACTTTCCTTGCGTCAGGTCAAGCTCAACGAAGTGGCACATCGTCTTGGTGCTGATTATAAATGGACATACGATCCTCGAGTTGGTTTCCTATACACATAAGTTCATCTCTATGTGCCTTCAATCCTTATTATTGTATTTTATCTCATCATTTATTTAAATCACTGTGGAATCGCAGACCTGTGTAAACTCTAAGCAAGTTCCTTATTTCATTTACAGTGTTAATTTCGGCATGTGAATATATATATGCATACTTGTGCATGTCTGTACGTGTATCTTAGTATCTCTTGTCCCACATTTAGTTTGTCGTTTATCATGCATTCAGGTTTGCATAATAGCACATCAGATCATAATTTCTAACGTATCTTTAGAATCTATTGTTGCGTCTATTTCATAATATTGTTTCAGAGCAACCAAACAACCTCTGTCAGACTCCATATTGTCTCTTTCTTATCCTTAATCATTTTACGGCGTAATTCTCTATTTTTTCTGGCTAGCCGAATGGTAATCCTCAATTATCTGCATGAACACATCGTTTAACGTATGATTTACTTTAGGTTACTCTCTTGTTAATTCGGTCCTTATACTTGGATATGGCGTTTCGGGGCTTTCTGTAAATTTAGCATGGTCCTTTTATTATAATAGCAATAATTTTTAATGCATACGGTTACTTTATATCATGTATATTAAAAATGTGATGAAACGAGCCGTCACCCTTGTTTCATATTCAAATCAAGGCGTATTTTCGACTTGCATGTTACGCTGGTTATGATCATAAGATTTCGGAGCCTGTCATGTATTTCCTCTGTATATTAGTATATACTTGACGACTTGTCCTTATTAGAAGCTTTTTGGTCGCTTTTATTGTTTTTTCTTTTCCATCCTACGGTTCCCATAATACGCTTTATTAGATGGAACCAGGGGTGATTTACAGCAATTATTTAGAGAGACTTCCTATCGTGAAAACCTTATCGCTACACTTCAACCAAAAAACTATATCCTGGCAAGCTATAGAGCCGGGTAGTGTTCTTGGCCTAGTGTTAACGTGAGACTTACAAGAATGAAACCCAGCTCTGATGATGTCCATTATATGATGGACGAAAGCTCAGCACGTT